TGGAGCCGTGTGGTAGCTCCACAAAAATCTCTGCGTCAACAGGTGCGTAGAGAAACGCGTTCGCGACGTCGATTTGTCGCAGCTTCTTCTTCTTCATGGCGGCGATTGCGAGGAGAATTCGCAGTGAAGTATGGCGGCTCACAGGTGTGAAGGTTTCGGTGAAGTTGCGTCCGTGTTCCTGGTCGAAACCGCGCACGACCCATCGTGCCTTGAACTTTTCGATGGTGCCGTCGGCTTTCGTCTTCACTCGGAAGACCCATTTTCCGGTGAGTATGGTCTTGTTTCGTGCTACGCCGATAGGGACGACCTTCCAGGTGTTGCGTTCTTCTAACGCCTTCAGCTCCCTGTCCATGGCTTCGCGCCATTTTTCCCTGTGCTCCCCCCCCAGAGCCTGTTGAACCGTCGCAGGCTCCTTAGGAATGTCGGCGCCGTGGACTGCGGTGACGAGGCCAAGGATTTGGAGTCCACTCTGTGTGTAGCGGGGGAGTGTGGTATCCTCGGGATAGACTGCTTCATCTCCCGCTTCTGGGTCTGGTGCGAAATTTGGTCCTACGCGTTCTGCTTCGTTGGTGTTGACTTCAGCTGGCGTAACATATCCGTTGTCGGCGAAGTGGTAATAGATGTCGGCGTTGGCGCTTTCGCGAGGATTTTCTTCGTCCATCGGTACGTCCACTGAGCAGTAGGGAAGAGGTCCGGCTTCTTCCGAGGCTCCGTCCACGTTCTGCTCGTCCCAGTCAGCTTCGTCTTCTGCCGAGGCGAAGGCTCGGTTGCCACAAAACCCGCTCGATAGGTCTGGATTGTTTTCTTCGATGTTGGTCAGGTACGTTGGCAGTGTGAGTCGTTTGTAGAAGATCACATCACGTGCTGCTACTGTTTCCTTTGTCCCGACGTCGAGGATTTTCCACGCGTTGTAATGTTTTTCGATGCCCAGGTGTAGTCCCCACTGTGCGCGTTGGGAGAATCGTCCTGCTCGTGCAGATGCGGGTCGGTACTGTACCATGCAGCCGAAGACTCGTAACATTTTTGTGCTGCCCAATTTTCCTGTCCACAGCAGATGCGGTGATGCGTTGTTCGGGAGTGACGACGAAGAAAGCAAGTTGTGCAGCATCACGGCGTGGTCCATTGCTTCGGGCCACTGATGGTCAGGTAGTCTCATGCCACGTAGCAGTTTTCGCATGGTGTTCTGCAGAGTCCTGTTCATCCTTTCTGCTACGCCTTGCTGTTGGTGGGCGTAGGGAAGGGAGATGAGCCGCTTGATGCCTTTCTCTATCAAGTACTGCTTGAACCTTTGGGAGGTGTATTCTCCTCCTCCGTCTGACTGAAAGCTTTTCAGTTTAACGCCTGATTCCCTTTCTGCTACGGGAAGCCACGCGACGAAGGCTTCGAAGGCCATGTCCCTGCTCGGAAGGTTGAGGTGCCTGACGTAACGTGTGGCTGCGTCGATGAAGGTGATGGCGTAGTTGTATGCGTTTTGTCCGGGGGCGCGGTTGTACAGGATGTCGCTGTACACCTTTTCGAGAGGTGCGTAGGCTGGAGCACTGGGGTTGTGGTGAGATGGGAACGGTTGATGCGTTAAGTAAGTCACCTTCAGGACAGATGAAGCATGTCCCTCGTGCTCGTTGAAGTTCTCGTCCGTCTGTTAGAAGTAGAGAGTCTTTGTCGAGTACTCCTGCTCGAATCGTGTTGTTTAACACAGTGTTGCTTGGGTGTCCCATTCTTGCGTGCCAGGTGCTTTCGTCGGCGCGATGTCCGGGTGATCGTCGATACAGATCGGAGTTGGAGTAGAAGCCAGCCGTGACGTTCGCACTTCGATGGACTTCTCGTTGTGCCGGGTGGAACTGCTGCGCGGGTGTTGGTGACGTGTCGTCGATGAAGGGCGGTGTTGTTGAAGGATCGGCAACTGGTGTTGATGTTTCTGCTGCTGCTGTCATTGTCTCTGCTGCTGCCGATGTTGTCCCTGCCGTTGCCGATGTTGTCTCTGCTGCTGCCGATGTTGTCTCTGCTGCTGCCGACTGTTGAATCGTTGCTAACGCTCTTGTTCTCTCTGTTTCAGGAATGGTGTGCGAGTACCAGAAACCGCTCGGACTGAAGTCTGGATCAAGATCTGGAGGATGTGTCCAGTTGGTGAAGTTTACGATGGCGTCGCTGTCGGCCGTGCCAAGATCGGGAACGAAGTCGAGAACGAAGACGTTGTTCTTGAGGACCGCCTTCCCGATGTAGAGACCTCCCCTTCCGTGGTACAGCTTGAACTCCTGAGTTGTGCTGTCTGCTTCAAGGTGAATGCCTTTCGCCATCAACTGACTGACGCTCAGTAAGTTGTAGCCCAAGCCCTCTGCGATTAGGACCTTAGACATCTGCAGAATAACATTTGTCTCTCGTGACTGAAGTTGTACTATGCCTTGTCGTCGTGTGCGCAGGTTCTGGTTGTTGGCGACGGTAATGACAACTTCCCGTTGAAGCTGGTACTCTCGCTGCACGAAGCGTCCTGAAGAACACATGTGTT